ATATATATTATTTATATTAATTACGTGTATATGTGTGTGTGTGTGTGTGTGTGTGTGTGTGTGTGTATATATAAATGTATTACAGTGTTGTGCAACCCATCAAATCGACGTATAACTTATAACTCTGATCAAATATTCACAGCGCAACTTTAGTACGTAAATGTAAGTATACGTGCAACTTAAATACAATCGTTCAATCTATGTATTTATTTGCACGCGAATATAAGTACGCGAACCGCTATACGCGCGCACGCGGCTGTGGCTATTGCAAACATCGTCTGCTACTTTTGCAACAAAAATATATAAGTATGCGCAATCACCTGTTTTTTTTGTATATACACTGTATACGAATGTGATAGGTGTGACACTGTGACGACAGGCAGTCTACAGATTGCGGCTTGAAGATATTTTTTACAACTTCTATTTTCTTTCCTTTGTGCAATTTTTTATTTGTTTAATGTAATTGTTTGCTTTTGTATTTTTTTTTATTCATTCAATGTAATTGCGTGTAACAACCGGCTGGTTATACAATGTACCATAATAAAAAGACCTTGAATTACATTTAATTAACACAAATGTACACAGAAATACATTTTATTAGCTCATTTAGATGAATATTGTCCGTTTTATTTTACATTATGTATGTGGTGTGATGTGATACTACCTACTCCTCACAAAAATATCGTACCTGGTTTGCCACCGAGAAACTCTCGTAATTTCCGACGGGCCACAATTTTATTTATTCATTCATGGCTCACGCTGCAAGGTAAATAATAAATAAGCATACTCTGGTAATGATACCAATCATCATGAAAGCTAGAGATGGTAAACAGAGTAAATATGAATGACAAACACGTAATAATAATATACCTACAATGTCTAATATTTAAATAAAATATTTTATTTTATTTTACGGATATTATTATTATTATGCGTTTATGCAGCTTATTAAATAATTGTTTTTGCAATCAAATGCACTTTCTTGCTAACTGGCTAAATTACGGTATTCTTATTCTTGTTACTTATAGCAGCGGGGATTTTTTTTTTTTACTAATGTATTCAATTAAGAATTTTAATTCTATTGTCTTTTTGAATCGTTGAAATCATTAAAGAAAGTTTATTTTGGAAAAAGTGCAGAATTATCACCTGAAAAACGTTCGGTCGAAACATTTTTCTTTATACTTTTCGAAATATTAAAAAAAAAAAAAAAAAGAAAAATTGTTTTGCAATAAAAAAAACCATATCCTTGATCTCTCTGAATGTCAAAAAACTTCGGGATGTTACTACATATTCATATTTTTTAAATAATTTTTAGTCCCCCTACAATAGAATAAAAAAATAGTATGAAGTACAAAATACCGAACGAGAATAACTTACCATTTGGCTCTCATAAATAACGTTTATTATTTCAAGCCTGATGGATTTTCGACCATTACCGACACCCGATCACTGAATAGACCCGCGGTACGGAGCGATATGTCTTATTCGCAAAGGCATATACTTAAGTATTAAAAATTAACGATTTCTTGTGCATACTCACATGGATTCATGACATTTAAATAGGTGGCAGTGTACGTCGGATGGTTTTCGCGACCGTTGCAATACATCAATGCATGACATAGGTACGCATATAGATATATTAGATAGATGCCTTATACTCTCAATAAGAAGTAAAACTTGCGAATAAGAAGAAAAAGAGAGAAAGTAAAATGTATTGACCATCGGCTTGTCTGTTGCCGGTCGCACCCCTGCAATAATCAACACCGGCTGACAGTTCGAACTGTCAGCTGTCGCATGCAAGAGTTTCGGAGCAGCGCTCCAGCTGAGCCAGACCGTATATGTATATATATATACACGTGGATGTAGTTGCCGGCCGCCAAAGGAGAGAGGGTTCGGGTTCGACCCATCGTCGCGACCGTCTCGTCCCGGCTCGTGCAAGCAATCGACCATATCGGGGCACACAAGAGAGCTGCCTGCGCCGACCAACAACCAGCGCTCGGCTCAGTTCCATTCTGCCGGTCCGAAGGGGCAGACGCGCGTAGAGAGACGTATACCTTACATGCACATAAAATAGGTATATAAAATTACATGCACCAAGTACACCTACACCCTGCAGCAGTAACCACCAATCGTTTACACAATTGTAGTGTACATAAAATCCTTATAATATCAAGCCGTGGAGTTTTAACATCACCAGCAGCATCATCATTCAAGATATTATATATACCATATCAAAAATACACACCATACATCATATACATATACATATTACCTCTCGCGACGCGACGCTCCTTTGTCTTGTTGGAAGTTGGACGGTTGCTCTCACGACATCAGCTACTGCACACACTTACGGGATAGTAACAGACAGCGGCTCCCCAGCTTCATCAGTAGCAGCGTTGTCGAGGAGCAAACTCCAGCAGCTCTACTGGTAGGTCACTTGAAACGAAACTATTGTCTATATATTATGTCCGTATATGTGTAAGTGAGTGCACCTATGTCAGGATTGTCAGGTCGACCCGGGGGGAATCTTATGCATGTACTGTGTACAAATAGGTAATTGCTATTGGCCACAACGACCCCGATCCAGCCGCTCTGCAGCTGCAGCTCTCAGCTGACGGGCCCGGCTTGATTTTACGAGCTTTCTCTCCCCGGCTTTTTTTTTTTTTTTTTTTTTTTTTTTTTTTTTTTTTTTTTTTATTGCCTCTCGCACATCTATATGATGGGAAACGCCAGTTGGTTCATTTTATACGTACCTATACGCGGCGCGGCTCATCTAACTTGGATTCGCAACTCTCGAGCAGTTTATACATATATATATATATATTATTTATATTAATTACAATACACCTACTCCTTTCGTTCGCTGTGTCTATCCATCCACTTGTTTGTATGGAAAGTACACTGTAATTACATTATGCATCAACATATACAACTTTATGTTCTCCCGGCCCTCCTCCCGAGCAAAACGGAGTCAGCCTATACTTTTAAGCGCACCCATACTTGTGTACTTACGTGCAATTAAACGGATTTTACAATTTCGGAGTTCGGAGTGCCCATTATATAGCGTTCGGGGGAGGGGGGGGGTGGTGAGTTGTCATCTCTCTTTGTCATTGCTTCGCGAATTCGAACGTGACAGCGTAGGTAATTTACGTATAGTTATACGTTCTGGGGGGGGATTCGAAGACCCAATCGATAGCCGAGCCGGATAGTGCCAGGGCACTTTACAGCTGAGAGCTCAGCTGATGGCGGCTGATGCTCCCTCTCGTTCCCTCTTGCGCGTCGTGTCCTCCTACCTTCCGTCTCGCTCTCTCCTCCGCTGCACTCCCCTGGTATAGCTGGTATATGCAAGTACACCTCTCTGTACAGCCTACACTGTATCTATGCAGGTCGCGGTTCACAATATACACAGGTATATAAGCTGGGCTGCGAGCCTCGGTGCCGCTCTACTACATGTATATACACACACACACACATACAATGCACCGCTTCTTTGTCTCGATGCAGTGCACGAGGAGCCCCTCGACTGGACGTGCGAAGTAGTAACAATAATGATGACTGTCGATCGATCGATCGTTAATCGGTTCACTGTAGGTACAGGTATAGTTACCGAGTGGACGTTTAACATGTAAGTAGGTGATATATTATATCTCTATAGGCGAATGAAAAGAAGAAGAAGAAGAAAAAAAAAGCTCGGAGAAAACCTTGACGACGAGCGCAAGTGCGATGACTTCAGCCAACCGTATATATATCATACACCTATGGGATTAAACAATAATGTATGTTACATATTTTTTTATGTATAATTTATCTAGCTCGAGATGAGCACGATGTATGCGCTCTTGCAAAATCCATCGGAAACGCACTCGTTACCTTGTTAGTAGGTCGGCGAGTTTCTCTTTTTTCTCTCTCTCTCGGTCCCGCTCTCTTCAAAAGTGTCCGAGTAGGTAAGTTTGACCACCTTTTTACTCGGCACGTGTACGTTTTCTATACTTACGTCTTATCGGTTTAAACGGACGATCGACAATGAGTATCAGCTATACACACATCATATAGGAAACAAACGAAAGATGAGCGTGTATACCTATACATTGCACCGATTGCACGCACGTAGGTAGTTATACGTGTACTTTCGGTAACGCACTGATTCACTCGGTCTCTGATGACTGTTGCCACCCGCGCTCATATTTTATACACGTGCTATACATAGTTTTAGAATCGCCGATACACACACCGTCCGTGTAATACATCTCCATGTATAATCAACATTTAATTTTTCCCTTTCGTTGTAATATATTAAGTATATTTGCAGAGCATCACACCGGGATGTCTGGAAACTCATCGACGGTGGCTGCGTTCGTGGCGCCGCTGTGCGCGCGCGACGAGGCCGCTCGGAACCTCGCCCTGGCCGTGGCGCGCGACACCGTCGAGGGCTGGCTCAACAACAACAGCACCAACAACAACAACAACACCAAGAGCAGCAGCAACAACAACAACAACAACAACAACAACAACAGCAACAACAACAACGGGTATTGGGATCGGGGGTCCCGCGAAGTGCCCAACAACGGTTACCACCGGACCTCCAGTCCCGAGGGCGCGGACTGCGTCGACGGCAGGCTCGACGACGATGAGCCGGCGTGCAATCAGCGGGCGAGGCTCCGCCAGAAGCAGTTCGACGAGGAGGAAGCCGGTGCCCGCGTGTACGGCAAAAGCCCCAAGTTCGACGATGGGCTGGCGAGTTTGAAGGGGGTGCGGGGCCGGCCTGCGGTTCAACAGCAGTGGCTCGACGAGCACCAGGAGCCCGAGCGGGTCGTCTTCAACACCCTCGACTGCTACTTCACCGAGAGCCCGAGGCTTCAGCACCCCGTGGCCGTGAGCCCGAGGCGGCCGTTGGTGCAGGTCGCCCGGGAGCCCGACCGGCTGCTCGCCGAGGCGGAGGTCGTCACGCCGGCCGACGTTGGCCGCATGTTGAACTTGGGCAGTGCCCTGGACGGGCCCCGGCAGGCCCAGCCCAACAAGTACATCAGCCTCGTGAGCCTGCACTTGCCCGTCATACTCAGGCTGAGCGTCAACTGTCCCTTTCAAAACGTCCGCACCAAGTGCGCCGAGATCGTGCAGATGATCAAGGTACCCGCAACTCATCCTACATCACTTATATACAAATCTCCTCGAGGGCCTTTTTTTTCCCACCTCAAGATGTCAATGCTCACCGGAGAACGAGGATTTTTACATACGTTGCCGAATTTCGAACGCTTACTTACCCGCTCTTTTTCTGATAACTTTTTTTCCCCCCCGATTTTACAACGAATTTTATCATGATGAATTAACTCGCTGTAATGGAAGCAAGTCTTCATTGCGTGGAAGCGCCACCGAGCAAGTTTTAGAATCGCTGCATACTCGAGCTTTCCATCCCCGAAAAACAATATTATCGATACACACACACCCATGTTCGGATTAAAGAACTAAAATAAATTTCCTGAATTTTTATGTAAACATAATGTTTGCAGTGATGACTAACCGCGGCAATTTTGAACAACTACAAGATCTTGACTTCCTCAATTTACAATGAATAATAAAAATCGATTTAATGTTATACATTTAAGCACTTTGAGTGCTACGCGTGATGAAATCATAAGTTTAATAAAATGCATTTAATTTACCTTTGAAAAAAAAAAAGTTGCCTCGAGTTGGTCCACGATAAACAACCCCACATTATATCCATAAGAGTAAAAAAAAACAAATTATTAAAATCTGCTGTTGGGATCACGAGGTACTTATATACCTACAGATTTTGTTCCGCTTAGCAGCCCAAAGCGCCCCGAGTCGTTCTCCAGCTACTAAAAAGCATGGCTATATATCTATACGCCTCTGGTTTAAATATAGGTATAAAGATATCAGTATCTACTCGGGGCGCTTTCGGGCTTCTAGGCTAAACAAAACTATTGACATTGACTTGTTACATAATGGCACGCCAGCTCTTACGCAGGCATGCATGTACATACAGGTGGACGATCGTTTTTGTTAATAGCATATTTTTAAGCCTGACGTGACGCATTACTTTAAATGAGTTTTTTTTTTTTTTTTTTTTTTTGTTTAATTGTTTTTCCGATTGAACGAAGCTTTCTTTGATGAAAAAAAAGACAGCGTTTACATAACGTACACAAGTATGTATTCAGGAAAAAAAAAAACCTGATCGAGTCTTCATTGAATTACTCCACAACACTGATACTTCATAACTATACAACTACTCTTACAACTGGAGACTGCACTGATTGAATAAGTGCAAATTGTAACGAGTATTCTGATTTAAAAAGTAGTTGCTTCGCGCACGTGTACCCGCACACTGATGCGTCACGAACACAAGTATACACCCTCGAAGATTCTTTCACTCGAGTGATTGTTACTCTGGTTCACTCGAGCAATGACAGTATTGGCACTTTTACAAATTGCGTAATACACTACTTGCATTTTATTATTATTATTCCTTTTTTTTTTTTTTTTTTTTGTTATGCTCGAGTTTGTGAATATTGTAAAAAAAAAAACTCATTGTCGTTCAGCCGCCACCGATAAGTATCTCTAAGACGCGCGAATCGTTGCAGCCGCACTTAAGAATCGGTTACGAATATTCGAGGGTCACCCGTATTGTAAAGAATTTTTCTCACTTATTCTTCATGAGCCTTGTCCTTACATAAGCAAACGAAATCAATATCAGCATCGTTTTAAATGAGCACTTGCGGTTCGAGTATCATAAGCGCTTCCGATCGATCGGTGCGGCTTTTTTCACGTCGCTTTGTACAATCGTTCCTTCGACTGTACGTATACATTTCAGATATGCTGCTTGGCGGCCTTTGAATTATAGGTACATCATGTATTTGTTTTTTTAGTCATTAGTGTAATTGGAAGGCTGATCGGTTCGCGTGAAGACTCGACATTAAACTCTTTCTTTCAACGAAACGAATTTATTTCATTGCAAGAGCATTTAAATGTCATTTATCGGGAGCCTCGTAAAAAAAGTTGAATGAAAGACTACTCATCGACAAACAATTCAAAGGTCAACAAATACCTTGTTTCTTCACTATTTGTTATTATATTGGCTCTCGTTAATGATTTGTTTAATCGATTACGAGAAATACTTAAACTTGAATAAATTATTTTTCTCTTTCAGGATCGAGGTTTGCCTGTCCCTGAACTTGACTTCGATGGCCCGAGCGCGTTCGTTCCCGCTTCGGAGGTGAGTTTTTTAAATTTTATTTCTAATTCTTTAAATTTTCCGAAGGTGATATGTTAACTTTTAATGGATTTTTTTCCTAATTAAGAGCCGTAAAATTCATATATTTAACAATACCAATTAAGGTGTCGTTAAACATGATACTTTTCCCCCATCGTTGTAATTATATTATAATTTATCTTGAATTCTCGAAGCCGCTTGTTGTATCATTGTACCGAAATCGGAAAATATGTTTATCGCGTTATGATTACCTTTGTGAAAAAATCCTTTCTTGCGAAAAAAAAAAAAGAAAAATTGCAAGTGAAGTGAAAGATTTGAAAAAAAATTTGCTCGGCTCTTTCATCGAGGATACACAAAAGGTAAGTGAATATTTCGTAACTATTGAGTATTACATTTTTTTCTTCGCACGACAAAAAAGCCCCCGACTAATCATTAAATTGCAAATCGGCGTTATCTTGGAGGCTCGTCCGTTTTATCTACACATATACGCCTATTATGCCACACTATCCGCAATCTATAGTTCCTCCCTCGCACACTTATCTTCAACTACGTACTTACAACATTAGAATAAAACTGATGAGAAAAAAAAAAAAAAAATCCATTTTGAGCGTTGCTTTTCTTTCAATGAGCCCCTACATCGACGAGTAATTATGTTTTGCATATTACAATATAAATACTTACTAATTCGCGCACCGGGACAAGGGTGGGCATGTACAGTGACCAGCGACTGTATAACACACGCGGCCACTCTCCTCCTCCTTCCCAGTGCCCAGTTGAGCCAGCCGATCCGTGCGCGCGTCGCTCCAGGCGCGCTCTTCGGTATTTGCGTGCCGGACGCGCCTCGAGTCGGTCGCTGCACTTTCCATTCGCTTCGGTTTGGACGCGCCGAGACGACCGGATTATTATTATTTTTTTTTTTTTCCTTCGAGTAATAATTTTATTCCCCGCGACATTCGGTGCGGCCGCGTGAAGCTATCGAAGTGAAACCCGTCGTTAACGAGGCTAACTGGCCACTTTTCCATTTGGACCGCTTCCCGTCTGCCACTTTCAAGGTAAACTTATGTGCGAGTGTGTTTTCGGCTGATCTATGATTTTTCCTCTGTTTCTTTTTTCTTTTTTTCTCCTTGTGTGTTTATCAAGAAAGTTTGATGGACCATCGTTGGTCTAAAATTTATCTTGATTAAAAGAGCTTTTGAAAATTGTATCAATAATAATCTTGTCGATACAACCATGGATAATTTACAACATTTGTTGATGAACGGTATTGTGGAAAAGCATAAGATTTTCATGCGAGAGAGTGCCTTCAATCAAACGTAATCAATGAAAAAAATCCAATCGCATATTCAACATCTTTTGTATTGTCGAGTCGGTGCGAGAGAGTTATCTTAAGAAAAAAAAAAAATCTGCTTGCGCAATAATTTCTATTTTCCCTTCGCGTCAACTCGGCCTTTCGCTTCGTTTTGATCGATCGATTATATTCGTTAATCTTTGATTGACAGAATGACTCATTACCCATCAGCTGTGATCGTGAATTCCAGAGACGTGCTTCGAAACAAGTGGCGGTCGCTCGTATACCTAGTTGAAAATTTTTTGAAATGCTTATACGAGCGGCGTGTTTTTTCACAGGCATCAGAGCGCAAACTTGAAAATCAAAAACTTTTTGCTGTTAATCCCAATTATTTAAAAAAAATTTTTTTATTGTCACTCGAAAATTTGCACGTTTCCACAAATCCATATACTGTTGCGTACACACCTGCTCACATAAAGCGTATATAAAGGAGTATTAGGTACACAAAAGAACACCGATGACGAATCATTTGACGGAATAGACGCTTTGTGCGGTCACACGTTGATACTTTGTTTTAAAATTTTCTGGTCTTTATTACAAACTCCCCAAACAATGTTACACCTTTTTCGCGCTGACAAAAAAAAGTTTCACAACTTCCGGGACAGTTTCGGCTTTTATGGAATGAAAAACAAAACAGAGTGGCGTATGATGTACACCGAAACAGTCTGCAATTATTCGCTCGATCCATTCATTCGCAAAAATACAAATTTTAAAATAAATTTGTTTACCCAAAGTTCAAACGGATGAGAATTTTAATTGACTTAATACTGCTATTTTTCTCCTAAGAAATCAATGTACGCATAGAATAATCACAAACGATAACAAAGTGTTGAAATCAGTTTCAAGTTTCGCAAAGTGAAAAATGAAAAAAATTTAAACTCCAGTAGAATGAAAATCTGACGCGGAGGAAAGATTCAATGTTCAATGTCCCTGACGATAAACAACGTTCCAAATTATAAATAATCGTGATACATCTTCGCACTAGTGTTGTGTACACATTTTTATGCACGAAATAAAGGTACAAGCGTTTTTCTCCAGTCGAGGTTGAATAAAAATAACGCCCACTATACTATTATTAACGAGTCTAAATTTAGAGATGCGGCGCCTTTGCATTTCTGCTGAATTAATTGCGCCAATAACTTTCTTTATTTTTTCTTTCTCCTTTGTTATTGTTACGATCGATGTTACTTTTCACGTGTTTGTTTTGCGTACAAGTACAAAATAACATAAATGCCCCTACGCTGCTTCCGATCATTCGACGCGACGATAAATCTCGTACGTCTCCTCTCCCTTTTTCTCGGTTGCATCAATTGAAAAATAAATTAAATATGCGGTGAGGCTCGTATCTTACTCAACACTCATTTTCAAGCCTTACATTTACCATATGTACACGTGTATAAGCAGGTGCTGGCTCGTGTGTTGCAATAATCAATGGATCACAAAAGAACGTCTGTCCGTGACCTTTAAATTGGCTTTGCCTATCACTTCGTATAAAAGTTGTTTTTTTTTTCCTCAAATCAAGCGATCGATTTCCCAAAGCTTGGATTGTAAAACTTTGTATCTTTTTACCATCATCCACCTACGCAAGCTTTTACACCAACTACATGTACACGTCACACAAGTTACGAAGCAACTGTGCACTTCCGCGCGGCGCAGTTCATTTCGCTCTATTCCGGGCACATTTCCATGCAATTTCAACTGCTAGCACAATACGTTCATTCGACAAAATTGGATTAGCCGGTACGGATAATTCTCTGTGCTCGTGAGTATACAAAACGTCACTGTAACGAAGGAGTTACATGTTGAAAATATATAACATAACTAACTACGAAATCGCTGTTCGATGTAAGGTATAATAAAAAAAAAAAAAAAAAAAAAATTGATGCTCATGGTCTTTGACATCGTTAGTTTCGATAATATACCGTCGAATGTCAAAACTAACTCCTTAATTTTCCATTCCGTCGTAATCAGGGTTCTTTGTTTTGTCTCGTGCGCGAATAATGACATTGATTCATTATATTCATCGGCAGATCATCAGCGTTATCTCGTATCATAGATTTTATTTGTCGATAATCGGCCGATTGAAATTAATTTATCGATTTTTTATTCCTTTCCAGCAACGAATGATAAGACGCGCGTCAGATACAACGTGTACAATATTTTTGTTTCAAATTAAATTTCTAACGATAATGACTGGACGCATGGTATTAGCAAAAACGAAAAAAAAAAAAAAAAACCTCAATCATCGTCACCGTTATCTTGCCTTGTAACTAACTGTATGGTGTTGTTGGTGTGTATATAGGTACAGCTTGAAATGTGAGAAAAAGGTGTGGCATGTATACGCGTGGATAAATTTTAATAAGCCTCATCGTTAGGTATACACCAAAGCCTTATCGATGAAACAAAGTTTTGAATAAAAATCAAGTCGCATCTAATTATTCGAATTTGAAAAGGTGGCAAAAAAACATGAAATCTTGATTTTTATCGGAATAAGTTGGCCTTTATATTTTTAAAATGAAAGCTCTTTTCATCACAGTCACCCGTACTCGAAAAAAAGCCGTTTGAACTAAAAAAGAAAAAAAAAAAAAAAAAAAAAAAGAGCCCCAAGACACCGATGTTAAAGCCATAGGCCTCAATTTGTCCAGAAAACGAGCCAGATTTCATGCAAAACCTGTATTCCTTTGCAGACCGAGACTACCAACAGCGAGAGGATAATGCCCCAGATGCTATTACACCAGGAGCCCGGCTGGAAGCTCGAGCGCAATGGCTCGGCGTTGCTGCTGCGCCGCGACAGCGGGGCGAGGCGTCAGCGCGTCTGTTTTCGCTGCGACGTCGAGGTGCGGGAGTACGAGCGCGACGACGAGGACCCCGAAGAGCCCGCCGATCCCCCGACCTCCGCCAGCCCCCTCGCCATGTGCGCCAGTTGCCTGGCCGCTCTCTGCATAACTGTTTTTCTACCCTGGCTCCTCATGGGCGGCTAACGACCGTATAGGCTGTCGATTGCGCTTCGGCGTGTACAAAGTCTATACACCACGAGGCCACTGCGTATGCTACAAAGATTTTCGACCTTCGATCAAAGCGATTCCCCAGTGATGTCCTTGTCGCGCGAGATGCTAACGAGACGGAAATATATAGACATATGTGTGATGGCCAAGTGGGTCAACGAACTCTGCATACACACGTCACACATGTACAGCAAGAAGAAACGACTTGAACTTGGAGACTGACGATTTTGATTTATTTCTACCGATGTACCTATACTTCGTATTGTGTGTGTATTTTAACGGCGCGCGTGTGTTTATTCGATAACTTTGAAAAAGTTTTGGCAGACGCGCGCCGTTAGCCCGAATGTTTCGATATTCGGTGAACACGATTATTTTGTACAGAAGAGAATGGGGAGTTTAAATATGCGCAACGATTATTATATATATATACGTGCGAGCTAATGAGGAGGCTCGTGCATATACACGCAAGACAATGCATTTAAAAATACATTCGTTACTTGCAACACAATGTCATTTCGAAATCGTTTCAAATTTCATGTACGTCCGAGGTTTTGTTACTATCGATTGTTGTTTTTATTTTTTAATAAATATACATATTGTTGACGATAAAACGACTCGTTTCTATTTTTCATCCATTATTTAATGTGTACTCTACGACATGTGTACGTAATCCCGAGTAAGTGGAGGAGAAGCAGATATTTGTATATGAGGTCGAGCGGAGAGATGATGATCCGCACGTAGGTATACGTATGCGTAGGCTCTAGCGGTTAAGAACGAACGCGAACAAAGCGTAATCAGAGATAAACATGCAAGGACTGCTCGACTTTGCCGATCGGATTACTCTGCTTGTTTTTGCATTCCTCGGAAAAAATTTATTTCGAGGGATCTCGCTATTTCGGGCGGCAAATGAAAAAAAGGTTATTCGAATTTAAACTTAAAAATAAATTTGTCTCGCTATAAACCACTTCGGTGTGTCGTTGTACCTACAAACGACGTCCACGTGTGTAAACTTGTTGGACAGTGTTTTTCAAGTATATTAACAAATGGACCCTTACGCTACCCTTTGTTGTAAAACCTTTTATCATCACCGTAAAAGGCGCGTTTAGTATACGTTTCATACGTTTTTCAGCTGTGTATTACGCGATGCGACGAGTGAAAGTCATTTTTTTTTCGCCGAACTACATATACACGTGCACTGTGATTTAGCCATGATAAAAAAGTATATGTATTGTTTAAAACGGAAAAAAGAAAAAATTGGCTTAATCAAGTGAAATTTCGCACAAACGTATTTATGTCGCGCGTTATTCTGGGTATAGCTGTTAAACGAAGCGGCATTAATTTCATCGAGTCGAACGTTAAATCGCAGACTCGGCGCAATCGTAATTTTCATGTCGGACGGTCACGCTTCGGAAATTTCACCGCTCGCGCTCGGCCGATTGGTACAAATTGTCCCTAATTTTTTTCGATTGACTTGTAAAGTTCAAATGTGCCAGCGTCAAATCTTTCCAACGGTTATGAAAAAAAAAAAAAAAAAAAAAAAGAAAAAAAAAAGAAATTGGGTCCGGCCGAACGGCATCTGCTGACTCGAAAACTACAGTTGCGCACTACGTGGAATTCCTCGAGCGTAAATGTATATAACTTTGCACACTTACCGATGGCTGTCGGTACGGCAGGATTTTCAAACCTTCGCTTCTCGTCTGCGTTACCGTGGAACGGTTCTTCATTCTCAGAAAATATTCCGGACAGTGCTGGCATTAGTTTTGCAAAAGAACACGACAGCCAGTGCCGGTAGCATGTTTTTTTTTTTTTTTTGTTTTTCAATAAACGTCAAACCCAAAATTTTGTATTCCTTCGATTAAATTTGTTGGCCGAATGATTGATCGCCACTTGAATTTTCCATCTCTATTTTACTCAATTTCCTACGTTTATTCAACTTTTTACCAAGACAATAGCTTAACCGCACGCCCATTTTTGTGTTTTCAGATGCCTGATTTGGACAACCTCGACGAAAAGGTGAGTTTGACCGAAAAATGTATGCACAATCGTCTTTTTTTTAGTCCCCTTTAGTTCAATTTTTTTTTTTTTTTTTTTCTTTTTAATTCTTCATTCGAGGTAAATCTCGTGTAGACACTTTTTTTTTGGCTTATGAAAATGTGTCGTCGAGTTGACCCGCGGTCTAGACGTTGAGTAACGTTTTAATTGTATAAAAGGTATTAATAGAGTAAAATTAAAGCAAGAACCAAGTGCCAAACAAACAAGACGCCTAATGCCGTCGCTCGCGTGATCCTAATTGTAACGTCATCTTCGTTACATCGAGCAAACAACACGTACGTTGTACGCAAGTTGCGGAATCGCGGCAACAGCGACATAAACATTTGTTTTTGCGTTAGCAATGGTAGATATAAAACAATTGGTCGTACTCGAAGAAGAAGAAAGAAAAAAACATCGCCCGATTCGAGAATCCTGTACACGGGATGGGGAACAGGTATATGAGCCTCCTTTTGGCTCGGAGAGGAAGGGAAAGTGTGAGCGAGAAAAACAAGTTTTTTCGTTCCTATACCCGGCGAAACCCGTCTTTTGAGCCACACTTACATGGAGCATCATCACCATCATCTTTCTAAAGAAATGCCACTCGGTGGTTATACTATTATCATTATTGTTGTATGCCACTCGTGCACGCGCGCCCCGAAGCACGTTTATCTGAAAAAAAAAAAAAAAAAAAAAAAAATTATAAAGCATAGAGCGAAAAAAGCAAAAAAAAAAGCAATGATAATAGTAATAATAATAATAATAATGATAATTTTTATCTGTATGCACGCGAGTTGCATAGCGCTCCGCTGCTTATGCAGTTTTCGCGCGATACCCAACCACCACCAGAGCAAAGTACCCAAGCGTGTATACACACACACACACAAAATTGGTATCGAAATCAAATGTAAATGTACGCGAGCAAAGTATACGTAATTATCTATTGTGGATGAAAATGCACGTCTAAAAGTCAAAGAGATCAAATAAAATAATGATAATGGTAACAATAATAATAACGTGTTGCGAGAGTAGTTGCGATGAGGCATTACTAGGTGCTTATACGTGTACGTACATGCATATAAATATACACTCGACACAACGATTGCGTAACTATACATATACGCTCCGGCATTGGCCGTGCACAATTGTGCCGATGTGCATATATTTATATGTATATGTATACGCATTGTTTATCCGTACGTGTAGGTTTGCGAGAACAAAAAGTTGAAAAGTGCGAACCGGTCTGGTTAATCTCAAACGGCATGAATTCGTATAGTATACACGTATTTATTTTATCGGCTCGAGAGAGCGCGTATATATATTACGTTCCCTCGCGTTTCGCAACTACAAAAAATGATTATTAAGCGGAATTAAATGGAAACGAGTCGGTGTACTGTTGTACTATATAGTTGTATAGATGTAGGTATTGTATTAGAATTTTTGCACTTGCGTGGACGATGATAATGGACGGGAGGGGGAGGGGTATAATATGATACGTGTTTGTAATGCTTACCCATGTGTCTTTCAAAAGCCATCACGTAACAATGGACGCGCCGATGTGGATTGAAATAAATAAATCGCCCGTACACGGCCGCTGTTTATCGATGCTCCTCGCGAGAGGTGTGGCTTTCTCTCGGGAAAAAAATTTTTTTTTTTTTTCCCCATTTCTTTTTCTGTTACAAGCGTAAGTGGGTATCATTACGGGCCGCAGATATTTTCCAGCGTATTAGAAACGAATGAAACACACTTATAATAAGCCGAAGAGGCGAATGCGCTGTGCACAGCCGAGAGAGCTGCACGCCTGGAGAAGAAGAAAAAAAAAAAAAAAAAAAAAAGTAATAACAACAATGATGATAGAAACGCGAATAAAGTAGGTATGGCTTGTGAGCCAAGCTAGAGCATATCATAATAATAATGTAATGTATTGTATTAAGTTTACGTTTGAGTATACTTGTTAGACACGGGTATGTGTATAGCCATCACCAAAACCAAGAATTCAAAGCGAAGCAAATTATATGTAAGTAAGGAAGCAAACGTACATATATATATGTAGATAAACGAGCTAGCGAGCGAATTTTATGTATACACGTGTTTGCATGAGTACATCGTAAATGCGCGTATTGAAAGGGTGGATGAGGTGGCGGTGGCAGGAGTCCGGAGTCTTTAGCACGCGCAAAGCGTTCTTATATATATATATATATACAAATCGCATGGGAGTAGAGCCTCTCCCTCCTTGTGTATATCCTATATCCTATTATATACGCGTATTTGTGTGTACGTGGCAGGCAGATCTTGGTAAACAACAGCGGTTGCCAAATCGGGGCCGCTATTAATACGACTCGGTCTTTCTCGGCGGCGAGCCGGCTCTGCACCAGCTGAGAGCCCGTGTACGCTTTATACACGTGCGCCACACACACACACGCGTGAGTATGTTTGAGCAGTCGAGTGTGTGTATATATATATATATTCTCCTCCTCCTCCTCCTCCTCGTCTTCCTGGTGCCGCGGAATCAGCCAAGGCCCCCCATGGACCCCTTTTTGGCAGCCCATCAGGGCTTGTTAGTGGTGTCTTTTTCTTTTTTCCTTCTCTCGTGTGTCCATGGCGCTCGTTTACTCGTCTTGCCAACCAAATCGGCAACCTTACTTCCAACCATACACACTTCTATAACTTCCATACTATGGCAAATAAGCTTCCAAACTCGTGTTTTGTTGAAAATTTTACTCTTTGAGAGAGAAAGTGCCACGTTTGCCCCAATAGTGATGGATCGCCCCGCTCTCGAATAACAGGTTTTTACTCGAGGGTGAGAAAAACAAAACATACCGATCTCGCCCCCCCCCCCCTTGTACGGAATGAGTTTCAACCTTATCCGAACACAAACGCGTCTGAGCTTTATCCTCGGAATAAACGCGGAGGACGCTAAAAAACACCAATACGGCAGCCGTGTGGGCGCGATCGACGGTGGATCTCTCTTTTTACCGGTTTTTTATTCCTATTACACCGATGCAGTATGGTACGACCAACCGATTCGTGTGCATATACAGCCGCATATTAAGAGCCACCGTACCTGACAGGAATACCTAATAAGCGCGCATAACGCCATGGGGTGGGTATAAGGGGGGGGGGGTGAAGAGACGCTCACTGAAGGACCGTCCTGCGGTCCGGGCGCGTGAACTCGGCTACAAAGCCGATGCGATGTATACTTAATATGATCTCGGGCCTGGATCGTGATCGAGCAGCTATTACCCTGCAACTCTATACACAATCAACAAGGAGTGACGATATCTAACAGGAGGAGAGCACTCTTTTAATGCAAGTCCGAATGAGGAGGATCGATCACCGTGTTGTGTACACGTACGATATGGATCGAGAGATGGATTGATTTTTTTTTTTTTTTTTTCCATTAGCATGAGGAGGGTTTGGGTGTCGGTCGGTGTTTCGCAAACTCGTCGAGAATTGTTTCGTTGGAATTGATCGTTTTGGCTTTCAAGCTCCCACCGTCTCTCGCGTTTCGTCAGAGAGATCTCGAGGGTATAGCGAAGGGGATCTGTCCGCAAAACTGCATATCGTTACGTAAAATTGATGAACTTTGCAGGCCTTTCCTCCGTCTCGTGTTCACCCCGGGAGGAGAAAAATAATGCGTCCGAGAGCTCACGACTCGTTTTACAATGCTAGCTGTATATTTCTACGCGATACAACGCGGACTGCTTTTTCTTTCTTATCGTTGCAAAATTTTTTATTTATGTCTGTGCGCACTTGTCCGCGTTCTCTCTCTCTCTCTCTTTGAATAAGTTTGAGTGAAAACAGCTATTTTCGATATTGAAGTCTTTCACTCTGTTTTTTGTACTAATTGTGGTAGTTTCATTTACACCAACGACTCAAAGTATAACATGTCGAAAAATGATGGCTCTGCAATTGGGGGTAAGCTCTATATGCAACTACTGGACTATCGCACACGTTTGGTGGGTCGGTTGGACGTGACGAGATAAGCATTTTTGATCTCGTTTGCAAAAACGCAATGATAGATATGAAAAAAAAAAAAAGGGAGAGAAAGAAAATTTTGTCAAAGCCGGAGAAATGAAAATCAGCGAGACAAGCTGCGAGTTGTCATGTGACACTGATAATAAATTATGAATTACCACTGGCTTCGAAAGGCTCGAGCCGCAGCCAACAAGCCAGCTAATAGCGAGTTGATATCGCATCGGCTGTTCCATTGTTTGTTTCGACTGTTCGAGATAAGACCGAGAGCAGAGCTAAGCGGAGAGGGAAACGTGAGATGTGTATATATTATATGTACGTGTATACAGCCTTTTCCGTTTTTGTTTCGATAAATATCATAATGGCAAAAACCAGCGAGAGATAAAGTGAGATAGGATTGAGGCTCGCGCGCTAGATTGCGCACATCGAGCTCATTTGATTCGATTCGTTTGCTCGAAATCACAAGCGACGATATTTTATCGACCCACGGGAGATAAGGATCATCTTTATATTTTTTTTTCTTCCACGAAAAAAAATATTTAAATGCCGTTTTATCTGTCAGAAGTTGGAAATTATCCGATTTCGTACATCTACGAAACTATCAACGATTATCTTGGAATAACAGTCGGTTACGTGTGCCTTTCTAAAACTGTACTCCGGTAGCGAGATATCGAAATTATTATTTGAGTGTCGGTTATCGGGTGTTGCACGTACATTAGGGAGAACGTGATTTTCCAAGCCGTGTTTTTTTTTTTTTTTTTTTTTTTTCCTCAACACCCACCCGCTAAATCGCTTCTTTGTAGCCCAAAGTGATATCGTTTAATCCACTAATCCCGAAATACGAATATTAATTCGTATTGAAATATGTTAGGTAATTAATCTTATCGCTTTTAGTAGAAATTTTTGTGGATAACTCGAGCAATAAGAAAATATTTTGGCTGCTCTTTTGTTCGGTGTTCCAAATGCTCGCCAAGACCGATAAATTAGATAAAACTTTTACGTTTTTATAT